CTTGTTCTTCACACAGAAAAATATATACAAAACCCTCAAATTACAACAAAAATCAACAGTGATGAATCAAAGTTGATAGAAAGTAACAGATCATGGAAAAAGAATATTGGAAGTGCAATTGACATGAAGAAGCAAAAAAAAAAAAAAAAAAAAAAAAAAGACCAGGAACTTAAATTTGTGCCTGGTTCATATTAGATCACCATAAGGAAATATTCACCACAAAAGAAGAACCTGAGCAAAGAGAAAGGTAAAAAGAGGGGGAGGGGAGAAGTGAAGGCGCTCTACCTTCTTTCCTTCCACTAGTGACTACGGTCACTACTGTAAATTTTAAGTAAAAGAACAAGTAATGTTTATCAACATAGTAATTTTTTTTTTAATTGTGAGGAAATAGAGTTTTTTTTATTATTATTATTTTATTTTATTTAGAATCATGTGTCAACTCTATGTCCGTTAGATTAAAAGTTTTAATGAGACAAGCAGACTGAGTGGAAAAAAAGATGGTTGGTACAATATCTAGTTGTAGCACGGAACTTGCATGCTTTTGTTGAACAAAAACTTGCATCCATGTTTTTGTAGTAGATAATCTATTTGCAGAAGTGTAGAATTATGACTCCTTGTAGTGATGTGTGAAAAAATCATAATATATATGGGGATATATCAATCTCTCTATTGAGGTAGGAATCCTACACTATTTACAATTGGAAATTACATTCCTATAATACATGCTATAATTATGGAGAAGATTCACGTTTAATTAATGATATTCTGACACCCCCTTCAATCTGGACCAGCCTGGTTGGAAAAATTTGAAACAAAGAAGGGCATGATGAGACTGATGAAGAGCTTTAGTGAGGAGATCAACCAGTTGGTCAGCAGAGGGAATATAACAAACACGATGACTACCAAGAGCAGCCTTTCCACGGACAAAGTGATAATCAAGTTCAATGTGATGCGTGCGTGCATGTTGAACAAGATTGGCAGTAAGATAGGTAGCACTCAAATTATCACAATGTTGTAAAATAGGTGTAGTCAAGCAAACTCCAAGCTTACCAAGAAGAAAGAAAACCCAAGTAGTCTCCAATGCACGCACATGAGCAAATGAGCGATACTCAAACTCAGCACTAGAGCAGGACACGGTTGTTTTTTGGAGCACCATGATATAAGATTAGAACCCGAATAAATAAGATAGCCAGTAGTAGAGCACATATATCCGGACAACTTGCCCAATCAGCATCCGAATAGGCAGATAAAGAAGTAGAACTCTAATGACCCATATGAATGCCAAAATCTAAAGTACCTTTAACATAGCGAAGAATTCGTTTAGCAGCATTCAAGTGAGTAGTATGAAGAGCACTCATATACTGAGCAACCATGTTAACAACAAAGGAAATATCGGGACGAGTAAGGGTGAGAAACTGTAGAGAGCTAACTAACTCACAGAAAACAGTGGGTGAAGCAAGTAGAGAGCCATATGTAGCAGTAAGAGCAACCCTTATAGCAAGTGGAGTCGAGGCCAGGTTACAGGAAACCATATCAAATTTTGTACTTGGTGTAAGATTCCTACCTCATGTTTCAAAAAACTTAATCTTTTGATTAAATTGGAATGTGTGGGATGTGTGGATGCTTAGAAAATTAAACGTTACACTTTTCTATTTTATTTTATTAAGGTGTTGGAATATGCTTATACCTATTAAACCATGGTTTGTTTGGTTTGGTTTCGATGTATGGTTTAGTTTGATGTATTGGTCAAATTCAAACCAAATCGAATCATTGAGTGCTAATTGGTTATGTTATAATTTTTATGTCAAATTGAAGTACCCCACACTTATTGGTATATGTGTGTTATTTATTGTGTGGGGTCCCTTTTTGTGTGTAAATATAGCTATATATTTACATTACAGAGTGGAGGATTTGAGCTAAGATAAACAATAGACTAGAGCAATAACGTTGGGTTAGAGAGTTAATTGTTAGAGTGAGGGGAGTTTTTATAATAGTGGCATCACGTTGGTTGGTACTTGGCCCATCGATAGGGAGACTAAATTTGTAAGTAAAATGTAGTAAACTAAAAAATATAGAAGTTGATTATTGGATTAGTATTTAAGTGTATAAACGTGCTCATTTTCAATTGGTGACAATCATTTAATTTGTAAATTTTATCTACAAATTTAGGCTCCTTACTATTACTCTTTCTCCATTCTACTTGGTGAAAGTTTAGAAACCAGTACGTATAGTTAGTATACAAAACACGTTTAGATTAATAATCAATAATCCGCTGTCGTCCAGCGGTTAGGATATGTGGCCTTCACCCAGGAGACCCGGGTTCGATTCCCGGCAACGGTACTTCTTAATTTCATTTACTTTTCTTTTTAATTTTCAAAAAAAATAAAAATTTGTGCTTTTAGTAGATTATCAGAAAGACAAGAACATTAAACATCGGACGGACGCCGAGTCCAACTCCAACTCACGGAAGGCTTCCATAAACCCAAAAGCCCTACTTCTGCATCTGCTGCTGCTTCTGCGTTCGTGTGTGTGCTCTCCAAGCAAACTTGTGCCCCACTCCTTTACTCTCTCTCCACTTCCCCTATTTATTATTTCTTCGCCCACTTCCTCTGCATATCTGTTGAGAGAGAGATGGCTAAGGAAAACAGCTGCTTGACTCGCGTGGCCACCGGCGCTGTAATTGGCGGAGCTATCGGCGGTGCCGTCGGTATTTCTCTAAAACCCACTTTCTAAATTTGCTTCAAAACCCTTGTTTTTGTTCTTTTCGCTTTCTTCTGTTGCTTATCTTGGGTTGTTGTGGAATCATCCTTCGATGTTCTTATTTAATCTGGGTTTCTGAGATTTTGTTTGTTCGAATACTTTGCGATCTTTTAAATGCATGTTGTTTGGTTTGTTTTGATGGGCATCTGGAAATCAAAGCTTTAGGTATTTCTGTCACTTTATTTTGGATTTTCAGTGAGTAGGTTAACTTGAATTATACCCACATTGTTATCGTGTAACGAGGAAGTATAGATCATTCGATTTTGTTAAGTTTCCGCAATGTCTTGATACATATATAGATGGTAGGCCCTTGTTGAAGGACTTTGTTCTCATGTTTTATGATGATCTTGATTCCAATTACTGTATAACTTTCCGTTCAGATTATTGCCACTCAACGGGGATCTGAAAAAGGAATGGGAAACCTTGACGTATTATAGCAAACTTTAGCTGGCCTGAAATTGGCAAAAGCTGATCACCTATTTCTCTTCTTGACTTTTCTTAAATCTCTGAAGAATCTCTCAAGAGGTCGCACTTGGTGCGATGGCAAGTGCCTTCGCCCATGAGCGGTAGGTCTCGGGTTCGAGACTTGGGAGCAGCCTCTCCATAAATGGGGGTAAGGCTAGCCGACATTCACCTCTCCCAGACCCTGCGTAAAGCGGGAGCCTTGTGCACTGGGTACGACCTTTCTGAAGAATCTCTCACTTGTTACTGAAAGAAATGTTTTCCTTGTTTTCTCTCAAGTACTTCTCCAGGCCTGTCATGTTTTCTAATGCTAATAGTACACTCCCTTCTTGTGCTAATAGACATCCCGACCAACCCTTTCCTTTCCCGGGCAGTATTTACAAAGCTAATCACGTTATCAGTCATCAGTTTTCACTTCCACCTTGGTAACTAGTTTGTTGTATAACATGCACTTCTTCTACGGTACAAGTACTATGTGATATTGACATGTTATGTAAGTTTAACGATTGTATAAAGTGAAAACCTAGAACAAGTAAGAGACAAGTAAAATCATACATTTGTTCTACATGTTACAAATCCGTCACTACCCTACTCCGCATGTGTAGGGAATATAGCTTAGACATTAGATTAATATAACATTTTGCTTCCTCTGAAAAACGTTTCTTTTGTTAAATCTGATGATTCATTACTACCTTAGTCCACATACTTCTTTCGGCACTATAATAATATAAGAGTTGTGGATTATGTAGTCTGGAACATGATCTTTTATGATAAATTAGTCAGCTAGCTTGAGAAAAAATGGATATTTGCTTTACCTTGTCTAATCGTAATTTATCGAATATGTCCAGGTTCGGTGTATGGGACATACGAGGCTTTAAGGTTTAAGGTACGTCCTCAGATCTAGCCTCTAGTTATTTTCATCGTTTTAAATACAAATTCCACAATTTTCTGCTCATGGTTTTTCGTTAATACTTTTTTGAGCTTCCATGACGATTGTCTAAAAAAAACTGAGAATACGGGAACATCCATCTGAACAGTATGTTGTTAGGCCACAAACACCAAACAAGAAAATGGAGTGACCTTCAGGAAAAATATTGGCTGTATTTTGAGTGATGGTCATGCTAGTGGCATAAGATGAATGAAAACTTCGAATGGTACATTTGTGATGATTCAATTTACATTAGATGGTCAAGTTTTCTAAATGGGTCTCTGTGTTGAGAAACATAAAAAATTTACAATCCCACCATTCGTCAATATGTGATAAGACTTTGTATCATTGCAATTGTTTTTCACATGTTAAATTATCAAACAATGCTATCCCTTAAAGAGTCTGCCATGCTTGCATTTAATTTTTTTTTTCTTTTCATAATTATGCTTGCAGGTGCCAGGATTTCTGAAGATCAGGCACATTGGACAAAGAACAGTGTCGAGTGCGGCTCTCTTTGGTCTTTTCTTAGGTGCCGGGAGCTTGATACATTGTGGGAAGTCATATTAAGCTCTTTCCTGCCTTAGATGAAGTAATTTGTTCTGTTTACAAAGTTTTGCTTTTGAACATGAAACTAGATGCTGCGCAGCAGGTGTGTCGTGGCGAATAGTTGTTTCTTCAAAGTCGGTAGTTCTGTTCTGTTGTTTCTGCCTTTAACGTTATATCGGAATTGTTTTTTATTTCTGTCTCTCAACGATTATTCATAGTTGTCCTACGGCGATGCAGACAATTGGATTATCTTAACCGGTTACTTTGTGTGTTAGCTGACTAGAAATTTTGGCTATCTCATCGATACGTTCTTTCAATAAAACAAGATAAAAAAGAATGATTTCAAATTAAACGTTGCGCCACCGATAAAAAAAACAACTTTAACAATACATCAAAGACATGTACAAGATACGAATTTTAATATAACACGCAAATCTAACATAACCCATATCCAAGTCCACAGCCCAAAACAACCAAAACCCTAGATGAATCCATAACCCAAAATCCTAATTATCATCACGAATTGAAGCTGTGCCGTCATTGAACCCACCGCATCTAGCCATAAAGAACATGTAGAACAAAGAGACACTCTGGAGAAGAGTCAATCTCCAATGATCCAACTGTGCATGATAGCGGAAAGAGTAGCAACTACAAGTCGTCATCAGTTTAATTCCTATAAAATAGTGAGACAGATTTATGGAACACAATTAGCCTTCATTCCTATCGTACATTTAAATCAAACTTTGGCCTTAGATTTTTTTGTAGAAAACTGGATATATGGACGATGATACATGAATGTACAGCTACCCAATAATCAATATATGAAACATTTTTATCATGCCTCCCAGTGGGATAAAATCTTGGCTCCACCACTGACCATGCCCTATTTAAATGGCCGGTGTTCGTGCCATTCGGGCCGGCTCGCCCGTTTGATACATTTACATCCCACCGAGACAACACCTACTCTATCAGCTACTCAATCGGGTATAAGCTCACCACCTACGTTCAATTTCTAATACTGGGCCTATACTGAATGCCTGGTGATCAATGGCTTTGTTTTATCGCAGTAACAATACAAAGGATGACTATTATATGCAGCTTGCTAATTTTAAAGAAAATGCTAGGGAACAATCTTGAAGAAAATGCTAGGGCTCACAGTAAAAGCTTGCATAAGAAGTTATACGTAGGGAAAGGATTCAATTCCATCATCGTAAGATCATCCCTTGATGCCTGCAGCACTATCAGATATATGGGTGAAGTACCAATGAAGAAAGAAACAAACTACGCTTCCCACTCTATTGGGTCAACATGAAATAATCACCAACATCAATAGCTAAATAACGAAAAAACGAGACGCATAATAGCCAATGAGTGAGATGTACTTAAGTCGTCCATATCTAACTTACCAGTATGGAAAAATAAGATCCTTATGTTGCATGACTTTTAGCTCAAACCCTGCATTCGAGTGAATTTTCTGTGAGCAACATTTGTCTTTTTTGGAGTTTCGAGTAATCTTGGTGAGAATTTTTCTACTAAGATTGGTTGGGTTTCCATTTCACAGGTCAAGAGAAGAGAGCACAAGCAGCACCATTGTGGCCCTTGTCAAGATAGCAAGGCAACCTGGCCATACGAGAGCAGAGAAAAAAAATACCCAAGGTAAACAAAATTAAATGAGTGGGTACAACATGTTATAGAAGGCGTAAAAGTGCTTGGAGAACAACAATGCTGAACAAAACGTAACAGCTACTTGCTACCCTAAATCACTTCAAAAATTAAAAACATTGTAATAAAGATACACATCACAGGATTTTTTTTCATTACATGATAGAACTGTAGCATTACAGTATCACAGGATGTTTTTCATTACATGATAGAAGTGTAGCATTAACAGCTGACTAAGAATAAACACTGATGAAAGCGGAAGCAATCCAATATTTCCTAAAACAAATTTGGCGTGTTATACCTACTTAGTAATAAGCTTGTGTACTTTAAACCAAATGTAGGTGAGACTTTGTACTCTTGATTTTAACAAACTGTCATGATAGTTTATGGAAGAGTAAGCCATCCATATATCATAATGGTAGCATGATTGAATAGTGAATACGTAGACAAGATCTACACCAAGGTTACCAGAAGTCGAAGAATAAAATGAGAACAAGAGAATTATTTTTTTTGAAGGAGAATTTAGTGAGGTACCTTTTGTGAAACCACCAGAGTATGCAAACAATTAGAATATATCTCTTGGATACTAAAATATTGCAGTTGGCAAGGATTCCCCCATCAAAACATTCTGAATACAACCTTTTCATCTTCAGATTGCATGTCCACTTTCAAAAGAAAGACCTTGCGAACAAAAAAGTGTAGCTATGAGCATTGACATCCGTAAAGAGTAACAAGAAATATAAATCAAAGGTGAAAACAGAAAACTAATAAAAAATATATACAAGGTTCACGTCCTATAACTTTTCACAACCATTTACAAAGCATATCGTAGTCAAGCTAGCATGCCTTCATTCTAACCAATAAAATATAACAAAAATATAACACTGAATGTCAAATACTCATGTAGTCATGCGCTGAAGAGAAGAGTCGAAGATCGAATAAAAGAGTCAAATACTCATGTAGTCATGCGCTGAAGAGAAGAGTCGAAGATCGAATAAAAGAGTCAAATGTCGTATAACATTTAATGATCTGATAAATGTCACATATATAGAATGGACTCATAAGATTTATAACTAGTCTGATTTGTCTGTTAGTTCTAAATTGTATCATAGATCAATCATACACTCAAGATCAAATTTTACAATATGAGATATAGAAGCCTGAACAGCTTACCTTCCAATGAAACGCATTACATAACCCATCAGTGTCACTCCCATTAAAATACTTCAATAACCACAAAATGGCAGAGCGGTTTATCATTCCTGCTGAATCATGAATGACGAGATCCCCATTTTTGCCCTCAACTTTTTCTGAAAACTCAGCCAAGCTTTCAAATAGCATGAAGCCATTAGATACAGCCCATTTAGCCATAACAGCAGAAGCAAAATCCTGAAAGACACTGTTAGGTAATAACATGACAGCCCCAACAAGCTTAGGCATGGGTGGACAGCAACTACAGAGTGTAAGAAGACCTTCAACCGCAATGGCACTCGCATTTGCATCTAATTTCTCCAACCAGAAAAACTTTGAAAGTAGTTCCTGCACTTGCACCGTGGAAACGGCTAGCTCTGATCTAATCAAGCCCCAGAATTTATGTTGTTCAACACAATCCCAATTAAAGGAATTCTTCATTAAGCGGAAAACTGTTTCAGTATTCTCACCAAAAATGGAAAATCATTTCAAGCCAATCTCAATCTGTATATTAACAAGATCAGCATGATCTAATTGACCAACAAGTAGCTTGATGATGCCATCCTCACCAATGGACATATCAGAAAGATGAGAATAGACACTGGAAAACAAGAATTTTAATCGCTTCCTCTCCCACACAGAACAAGTCATTATGTCAGAAAAAAGGAGCCGTGGCAGAGAATTTTCAGCATCCTTGAATAAGGCAGTTCTTGAATACATAAGGAAGCATTTGTAGGCAGCAAAGGCACCATCGACTAACATTGCAACTAACTTCTTTTCTGCTTTAGAAATAGATTCAATGGTTTCATATGAGTTTTCAGTTCTGCCATGCAAAAAAGAAAAGTACCCATTGACATGATATAGCAGCAGATGGATGCCTGATTCACTTGGAGTAATAGCATTAACGTCAACCATGGCACCTCCAAAAAAACCCACCATGTGTGCCTCATAAGCTAGTCTTGATGCATACGATAATAACCTTGCTCCAACTGGAAAACCATTCTTTAACCAGAATAGAAGCATAGCTTGCATATTTTGATGCTTAGAAAGAACAAACATACGGATAATTAAGGATGTGGCAGACCCAACTTCATCACCGTTTTCAGGACTATCTGGATGAGAGGAGAAAATAATTTGGACCCACTCAATTCATACAACATTCTCATTATAGAAGATAAAACATCAGGGAGAATGAAGCCACTCTTTGGTCCTTGGCCATCAAAACTCACAAATAAAAGTAACAGTTCTTCCAAAGTATGAAGAGCCATTGGATTTGAATTTTTAATTGCTTCTCCAAGATTATGAATCAAATTGTCTATATCATGAACTTGACCTTCCCTGGCCACTACTAATGGACTATGGGAAGGAGCTGCATCATCTGATATCATAACTTTAGTTTCAGCTAATTTGGTTCCAAATCTGTCTCCTTGGCTACATTTAGGTTGCCATTCTGTTAATGGTAATGGAGTTTCCATACATGAAGAGTTCAAACTCACAAAATCACCAGGACGACAAGCTTGTTGAACCTCCTTAGAGATTTCAAATTTCCTACGTGACAAAAACCTACCAAGCCTCTCTTTCAATATAGGAGACAGTGCATCACAAGAGGTCAAGACATCAAATGAACGAATCACTCCTCTCTTAACCAGTACACTAAAAGAAGATGACACACCTTTAGCTAAGATATCGTAATGTTCCACATCATAGTTGTCCATAAGAAGGAAGAAAAATTCAAGAATAGTGTGAGTTACATCAATGTATCTGGGTATAGAATAGACCATTAATAACATTGCAGGTTCAATATCCATAATATTGTCTACTCTTTCCTCGAAAAAGAGCCAATCATAAAGTAGAGCTAGTTTCACATTTGCTTCAACATAATTCTTAGTGCAAGATTTGAAATGCCAACCCATAACAGCCCATCTTGGAATGACATCTGACTGAATGATTTCATTCGTTGGGTGGTAAGGACAACATATAAAGCGAACAAGGTCAATTATGAGAGTCTCTCTGTTTGGTTCAAATAGATACTTCTAGGAAAACCATGCCTGATGACGCTTCTGGTTTCCCAACTTCACATGAGTGAGCAAAAATCGTAAATGGGCCTCCATTTTGGAGTAATCCGAAGTAACATATAATCGCTTGGAGTCCTTATGTTATAGAGTTGTGGAATACCTGAAAATCCCTGAGCTTTAAATTCGCCGCGATTAAATACCAAATCCTTCCATATTGCTCTAAACTTGGGTAAATGAACCAAATCTTGTAGAAGTCGAACAAGATCCCTGCCAATCTTCAAACACAAAGGAAACTTCTCCTTAAAAACTTTAATGCAAAAATTGACCTCCAATTGCTTTAAGTAAGCCCAAAATCGAACTCTCCCCACACATTATCCACCTACTCTCTAACATAGTAAGAAGTCCTATTTCTTTCCCAGCTCAACCGACCATCTTCATTACGATCTCTCTAATAGATATGGGATTCACATACCCACCTAAATTAGAGAGATTGTAGACAACACGAGCACTAGAGATGGTTATTATAGAGCAACGTCAATTTTGACTGAAACTATTTTTCTTAGAAACAATATTTTAGGCATGTGGGTTATGCACAACCTCATTCACGTAATGTCTTCTTTTTCCGTTTTTCTGTCCAAGAATTTTCTTTTTATTAAAAGGCAATCTCATTGATGTAATAATCTTACTATTAAATGTTCAGAATCCTACATTAATATTAGTAAAATACAAATATGAATATAGGTATGAAGGGTTTTCTGACATTTAGTATGAACGGTATAATAACATCGGCAAGTAAACGCAATTGTTTCGTTAAACCTATAACATTTAGCCCTTCATGACTAGAGATTAAGCTGGATAGAGCAAGTGATTATGCAATAGAGCAATACCATATTCAGATGTTTTAACAAACACCTGGTGTGCAACGCGGCCAAGAAACCCCAGCGCCTTCTTAACTGGCAAAGGCATACACAACCAAGAATTTCAATTTCAAGGAGCCTATGGAAACGATTGGTGGATAGCAGACAATAGGAAACATCAACTCTACAGATATACGTATACATATATGTGTGAGTGTGTGTGTGTATATATATATATATGTATATGTATATATTCATGAAAGAAGAACACTTACATACACGACTATGCACGATATATCGGGGGAGCTCGACGCGAACTTGATTACTTGGCCGCTGTGACTGAGAAGAAAAGACGCGGAAGGAAGAGAAGGTCGGGAAAACGGTGACGAAGCAAGCGTGGCGACATAGGTGCGTGCGAGTAACCCAAGTATCACGAAAGGGTAAATGCTACGGAACAAATTTAGTAAACAAAACGCATGAAAGTTGATAATTCACGTTCTTATTTCTTATTGTTACACATTATTGAATTTGTAAATTTAGTTTACTTAACATTACTCATTGCAAAATCGTTTGCGTTATTGAGAATACACTGCTAAGATCATCTCCAACACTTAGAGATAAAAGTTTAAAATTTTAAGTCATAACCTAGAAACTATTTTTTCCCTTGAATAGTTATGACCTAAAATTTTAGGAAAACTAATGAAAGGGTTTTAAAACTTTTAATTTTATGCAAAAGTCATCTAATAACTTTATTTAATAATAAGAACAAGAGGAAAAAAAAAGAAAAAAAAAAGAACCTTATCAAACGCGCGTGTAGTCTCCTTTGCCACTGCATCTTTTGACTGCTTTTTCTAGTCCTCATCAATTGGGGTCCAAAAATTGCCTTGCGAAGCAACTCCAATCTTGGCAGCTCCAATATCTATAAAGCACACACCTCTATATATTTGTACTATATATACATAAACACCCTGCTACATATTATACATTATAGACATATGAAGCACTGAAGAATACCTTGTGCAACTTTATTTACGAAGCCACTACCTTTTATACACACAATTTTGATTTACATGATGCATAGATTAGACGAATGCGATGTTCCCAGCAATTTTTATCCACGAAACTAATGGTGCCATGAGATGCTTCAGAAATTGTATGGTAACCAAAATTCAGGGTTTTTAGGTACACACACATATTGAAATGATTGAAGATTTGAGATGTTTATGAAATTGAAGGACAAGAAGCGGGAGTACAATCTAGGCTCATATTCGTGGGTGTATTCGATTTTATTGATTTCATTTGTGTTTTATTTATTTTATTTTGTAGAGGGAGAAGGTGAGATTGTAGGTGGATGAGAAGAGAAAGCCACAAATGGACAATAGAAGAAAATTAAGTAATTGGCGTAGAAAGTTAAGAAATTAAAGAGATAGAGAAAATTTGATGAGTATCAAAGAAAATTAGAAGAAGAAAATATGTTTGGAAGGTAAGAATGTGCCAAGAAAATTCAAGAAGAGGAGAGAGAAGAATATAGTACCGTTAAGTTTCATAAACAGTGTAGCATCATTAAGTTTCATAAATAGTGTAATACCATTAAGTTTCATAAATAGTGTAGTCAATGTAGTATCGTTAAGTTTTATAAATAGTGTAGTACCGTTAAATTTCATAAAAAGTGTAATAAGTTTCATAAATAATGTAGTACCGTTAAGTGTCATAAACAATTTGTGTGAGGACGCGTGCCTCAGAATTTTTTTTAATATTAAAATTATATCCTTTTTAAAATTTAAATTCTTTTGTCATTTTTATTAAAATTTAAGTCTTTTTCTTTAAACAAAGTTATGGCATAGTTTTTTTATATTAAAATGTACTTAGCCCAAGCCCTTTTCATGAAAGTTCCTAAAATTTTAGCCTAATTTTTTTGGTAACCCTTTAAATTTTTTTTTTATAAATTATACTAATTTATTTTTATGAAAATTTTGACCTAAAAATATTTGAATTTTGATAATTAATTAAAAATCATACAAATACATAGGTATTTATAAAATTTTAAGTGAAATTTGATTTAGATAATTATTTAGACATTAGATTTAATTTTGGTCCGTCATATCTTTTTTTTTTCTTTGTAACCGTTAGATTTAATCTCATTTGATTACAACCGTTGATTTAGGAAAGGGATCCCCGGATCCCTTCCTCCTAATCCACCAATTCAGGTAATCTGTGCCGTTGAAATTTGATCAAATGACTGAAGTTATTATAACTTTTAAAGTGGGCCCCTGTTTGTAGCCATTGGATCAAATTTCAACGGCACGGATTCCCTAATTTAATGGATTAGGAGGAAAGGATCCAGAGAGGATCCCTTTACGTTGATTTATAAGTAAAAAATAAACAAAGGTTTGAAATATGACATATTGTTGGGTCCAAAATAATTTAAGCCCGGCTTAATTTCCGAGGTGAATTTAGCCCAAATATATATTCTCTCCCAAGGCTTATTTTAGCCCAATGGTTGGTAGTAGTGGGTTAGATTCTAATTGGTTCGGTTCAGTTGTTTTCCAGTTCGGTTTGGATTTTTTTTTATTTTTTAAACAATATAGTCTGGTCACACGGATCCTTTAAATCTTATTTCTATAAGTTCATGTCGAAACCTGCATGTTTCATATATAAAACCACAATTAAGCATTACTACCTAACACCTGCAAGACTGCAATACTAGATGGAAGCAGAATACTCTGATTACAACAAATCTTCTGTTCATAATGGTTTACATGGAAGGGAATCCTCTCCAGATCCCTTCCACTAATCCTTCTCATCAAACAATCCGGGCCTTTAAAATTTGATCCAACGGCTACAAACAGGGACCCACTTTAAAAGTTATAATAATATTAGCTGTTGGATCAATTTCAAAGGTCCGGATTATTTGATGAGGAGGATTAGGTGGAAGGGATCCGGAGGGGATCCCTTTCCAGTTTACATCCGTCGGTTACAGAGAAATTCCTTCAATATTTATGACACAAAAGAAACTAAGGATACTATCTTGTTGCTTACTTGTTAAGTTACTGTACTAACTTTACCATGAGAGACTTTTTGTAAAAGGACTCTATGTAGGGATGGGCAAAATACCCATGGGTTTGGGTAACCGCGGTTACCCGCCCATTTAAAGTTCACGGCTATGGTTATGGGTAATCGTTTAGACGAATAAACGGTTATGGGTATAACCGTTTATCCGTGAAATTTAAATGGACGGTTATGGGTATTACCTGTAGTTATAACGGGTATCCATCGGTTATGGGTATTACCCGCGGTTATAATGGGTATCCATTTACCCATTTAATTTAATATATGTAAAATTAAAAAAAAAATTAAAAACCCTAAATTTTCAATCTCTTCGCGTCTTAAACGCCCCGTCTCCCGCTCATCTCTCCTTCCTCGCTGCCCTCTCTCATCTCTGCCGCTCATCTATTAAATTAACAAATTTCCATAATTAATTCTTTTCAAACATTGACATGCGAGAAGTTGTATATATAAATATTCTTGCTATAATTAGCTCCTCCAAAGTGATTAACGACCGCCCAACCTTCAATCTTTCTCTCAAGAAAAAGATAATTATGACTTCAGGTATGTTTCTTTTGTGCTGGCTTTAGTTCTTATATGTTTTGAAATAATTATTGTGAACTACGAATGGTTTGATCCCTATGTAGGGAGAAATTTTTAGGTGTTCCCGTCACCCCATATCACCATGGAGACTTGGTGTACCCATCCAATCAGGGGATGCCACGTTTCCCATTAAAGAATCTTTCTGATTTATTTTTTAAGAAAATCAATTAAACAAACACTTTAATGGGAAACGTGGCATCCCCTGATTGGATGGGTACACCAAGTGTCATGGTGATGTGGGGTGACGGGAACACCTAAAAATTTCTCCTATGTAGGGTACGTAGGCAGTCTAACGAGATGTTAGATGCATCCATATAATAACTGAGACTAATTAATTGAGAAAATAGCCTTGTGTAGGGGATTGAATAATGTGAGGGACATTGGTGGAAAATGTGTGAGATTTAACCTTATGAATTAGTGGTTAAATGTTAGTCATAAATCAATGTGTGTGAAGAATCAAGAATTTGAAGTACGGAAACATAATTAATGATAGTTAATTAAACTAGTGTCTAGTTGGGCTTATCACCAATAATTATTCCTGAAAATAAATAGTTCGGGAGTAGGGCGTTACAGCTTATGCATTTTTATGCCATTATATATATATATATATGTATGTATGTATATAATTGAAAATGCTATAACATGGTTGAGTATTAAATTGCATCATGGTTTATATATATGTATATTAACTGCACATAATTATTGTGAACGCTTGAAGTGCAAAGGTGAACGCAGGACACCCAGGTAAGTTCAGGTGAGTTTTTATAGTATTAGTTGAAATGATGGAGTTATGGCATGACTATATAATGTATTAAGCAACTCCGACACTATTGTTGGAAGTATGCCCACAAAGCCACTCATTTGATGTAATAGCTTTTTGGAATACTTAATGTATTAAACTTTTATATGTTTAATGAAGGGCAGAGCTTATTGTTAATCACTATTTATTGTATCATGTGTTTAAGCAATAAGGGAATCCTAGGGATGTATTTGATCTAAGAGACAAGTGATCTAAGTGAGTTAGATTATCGAGACCATTCTCTTATGTTCATTCCTAAAACGTTCCTAGCCATAGGATTGCCAATTGGGCATTGACAATCCGCTAAGGTTAGTATGTGTTATGTTGACTCAAGCGTGAGTATGACTAGTCTCAAGTCATTTAGTGTTGGACACTAAGACAAACACATATGTGCTCGAAAGAGTAATCGAGTACACTGAACTACGATCGAAAAAGAGTTCGAACATACATGTCATGTAAGAACTCGAAAGTTGCAATATGCAAAGTAGTCCTTTGACCTGAGGCATCATAGATGTCTAATGGTTAGGTCCTTGATCTTTGATCATGTCAACGGCATTCCATCGGAGTGTCCACGGCATTGTTGGGGTCAAGCTATCTAGTCATGTAGGCATATGAATGCACAACAAGGGATCTCTAACCTTCCATAGTGGAAGGAGAATACTCTAAGATATGATTCGTAAGTCTTTGGCCAAAGCAAATGAATATGACTTAGGAAGTTTTTTCCAATTCATATTCAAAGGAATCATATAGAAAAGTATCACATTGGATAGTAGACATAAAACAAACTATCACTTAAACAATGTGATTAAGAGTATTGTATTAGAGAAGGACCGTATTGCATTGTAGTTGTAACTGGATAGGTTGTCCAACCAATTCTACTTAGCTTGGGTAACCATGACATACTGCTAGGTGTCACTCATGGTTTGTGGAAGCCCTAATGACTAGCAAACACTAATCATAAAGGGAGAATTGAAATGTGGTTTCAATTCACAATCGATCGTTAAGAGTAACAATCGCCCACTACCTCGCTAATTGGAACCTAATGGATCGTACACCGAGTAAGGGCGATAGTGAAGAAATTAAATGAAATGGATATGCAATTAAATGGTTTAATTGAAGAAT